GTGGAAGAAGATTTCCGCACGAGAAAATCCACGAGTACGGTCGACGTGATCTTTCAATTGTCGCAGCTGGGTAACGTATGTGGAAGCGTCAATCGTCTGTCCTTTCTCCACAGCTCCCAGTACTCCATGCCTCTTCTAGACCACCAACAGGACAGGAGAACCTTTTTGGGGTGAAGGTCGGCTTTTGGGGAGGGTTCTGGCTGTTCTCCTTTGTCGACCCTCTGCCGCTTCCTTACAGGGTTATCGTAGAGGACCCACTCCTCATCTACAGTGATCACAGAGTTGAGAAAGTGAAGCTTCTTTTGTGAATCGTGAAGCAAAACCAAGCAGTGGCGCAGGTACATTCTGTCACAGTGGTAATTATGCGACATTGTGGCCTGCAAATGCAAGGTGAGTGAGTGATAGCTAGGGTGATAAAAGAGTATAATGCATACGTCACGCACACTAGATGACGAAATACGAACATCCATGCAAACGAAATACGGAAGGATCAAAATGGGTTTAAAAACATATGCATCAACCTAATACTACTGAGACGCAAGGGAGAATGAGTTATTAACCAGCAATGAATGTACAAAAAATAGTAACTCAAAGCGCTGAGAACTTTACGGACAACCTAATACATCCATACACCTTATTCGCCACACTTCCATCAATTAGCTGTTCTTCAAACTTCCCGACAACCTCATCAGGGAGCAGTGCTTCGAAAGCCAACATGATTATGCAGCGGCATTAACAATTTCACCGAGGCCATGAGATCTCGGGACTTGTCGGCAAGCGGAATGAGCAAACTTCTTTGTCGTTGTTCACATTATGCTCTATTTATGAAGTTTTGCTCACTGTCGCCTAAACCTACACCCGGAAAACAGCCGGACGAGTTTTACGGGCGCAAGTCGTCCACTTCGTTGTGGGACCACGCGTCCCTTTGAATTCATTTGAATTAGGATACTTCAATAAGAGCGGTTTTCTCGTGAGATTACCGCTCTTGTGCGTAATCATAGTTAATATTTTCGAGACCTGCTTCTGCTTCGATTGGGGAACGCATGAAACCTGAGGTGCAACCGGAAAACTGAGCACATCAATTGCATCTTCTGCTTTCTAGGGAATATACCCCGTCGGGTGCCATCATTTTTAGAAGTTCTGCCACTCAGCTTTGGATTTCAGCGCAGGAAGATACCTTCAACCTATCTTCGGTATTGTGTGCACAAAACCGCTGTTATAAGAGCTGCGTTATATGTCTGGCGCGCGAAAATTTCCGTTTGACATGTGGTTTGGAGACACTTTTGACTCGCTCAGTTTTAGAGGGCTCTCAAGGGAAAGAACTGTTGAGTTCAGGAAAAGAACAACAAATTTCTGTTAGATCTAGATTCATACTAATACTTCACAAGCAGCAATGCTAAACGAATTCCAGCAAAACATAAGCACAATGTTTTAAATGCAACTACAATGGAGAAGAGTACAGCAACATGAAAACGTGAATTAACTCTTCAGAAATTGGCAGATATTCATGCCTATAACTAGGCCCATTATAACGCAGTCCACAACATAATCTTCTTGTATCCTGCCACCCCCTTCTGCAGGTGAGAGCAGCCCGCGTACGAACGTGGGAGCCACTGTTACTCATGCGGAACTCCGGAAACCCATCCACAAAGCCAAAGTCAAGCCGATAATTTAGTATCCACTTCCATCAGCCTTTCGAAGCAGAAGCTGATCTAGAAAATGTTAACTAGGCGCTGTTTATCGACGGAGGGGGGAAGGGGGCATTTCGTACTATCACTTCCTTCCCTTGTTCTGGTTTGCAAATCTCATTTTGGTGAAAACTTGTGAACTCTTGTCAAGCTGGAGCAGGATCGTCTAGACACCATCCCAAAACGTGAAAACTCGAGAAAACGCTCCCTAGATGGGTCGACACATCTATGGAAAGCAAAAATGCCTCCCCCGTCGATGAACTGCCGCTATAAACTATGATTACGCACAAGAGCGGTAATCTCACAAAAAACCGCTCTTATTGAAGTATCCTAATTCAAATGAAGTTAAAGGGACGCGTGGTCCCACAACGAAGTGGACGACTTGCGCCCGTAAAACTCGTCCGGCCGTTTTTCCGGGTAGGTTTTTGATTCGTCTACGATAACGGGCGAAACGGACCATCTGTGATGTTGAGTGTATTCCTTTCCCCAATATTTGTTTTTCTTTGTTTCTAATTAGGCGGCAGTGTTTTGCTCAAACCGAGATATGCCCATCAAAATTTTGAGGTCGAAAATCGCGAAAAAAATTTTCCACGACATCATATTTAATGATCAGCTGGTTGTGAAAAGACAAGCTCGGAAGAAGGCCATGCGATCAAGCTGCGAATGTATGACGTTTCCTGCATCTCATCGTTCTTGCGATATTTTCATTTTAGGTCTCATGCAGAAAAGCCGTGGGTACGAGCCAATGAGACGAATCAGGAGGAGAACGAGAAAGCAAAAGAAGCATATAGAGCGCTTAAAACGATATCACTGAGAAGGTGAGACTCGCGATAATACTTTCCTTTTAGATAAAAATATTGGCCACATAAGCTGTTCTCTCAAAAGTGAAACAATGAAAAATATGGCCACTTCTTTCTTTTTCCTTCATTAGCGTTCAGATATTAATGTCCTAAAATCTGAAAATTTCACAACTATTCTTTGGTATTTGAATATTGCTATCTAGAATCTGGGGGGTTTTTGCTGAATCTTCGACAGGGATTTATCAGCGGCCTAAACAGGAACATAGCAATCATTTTAGATCCAACCATCCTCTTCGCCAAAATCCTTTTATGTTGAACTCGGGTTGCACAATGAATACCCAAGTGGATATGCTTACATACTGTGTTGGCCATACTCTTGTACATGCTACTGTGTGTAATGGAATGAATTTTTGCGTTGAAAATAAAACGATGTGCTATGCCATTTGGTCTTTTGCCCCAAGGTAGTTTGCTTGGCCATATTAAACCTACTTCCTCTTGATTCATAAGAAACAAAGGTGAAGCGTCAAGCTGACGAAAATGGGAACACTTCGACGCTCTCACTCTAAGCGCTCACTTGAAATAGTTGAAGCTGCAGAAGCTCTTTTGTGAAGTGTTTGACCATAAATTCCACTCCATTCTATATATCTTAGGACGGCTCAGGATTGCTTCAAATGATTCAAAGATTTCAATGTTGACCTTGCACACGACCCACCGGCCTACGCACCCCATTGAGCGGCTGAAGGTCTACAGAACCAGTGTATTCATGAGTGTCTACATCAAGGGGAGTGGATAGAGGTCGTGGAATGCTTTCGCGCTCTCAGTGAGCATCACTTAAACCTGAAAGGCTTGAAAGCAGGCCCAAGAATCACGTCGCAGAAAAGTCGGGGGGGGGGGCGGGGGTGGGTGGGTGCCACTCAGGGTCAAGCATGGCGCCGCGGAAAATTGGGGTTTGGTACGACCCGTCTCAGAAAGGGGTGTCCGTACGATCCCCCCCCCTCACCAGTGACTGCGCAGTGTTTAGAAGTACTCTGTGGTCTTCACAATGTAGCTGTATATGTTGTGTGTTATGCGAATACCAGACCAATCAAATAAAACTGAAATTTAAACGGATTTCTTTCTAAGATGTAGTGTAATGCAGGAAGTGGAACACGAAAAAACCTCACAATGACGCCCTTCAAGAGAAATAAGAAACACGAAAGCAGAGCACTTGCGGCTGCGTCGCTTACTGAGATTGGAGCTATCGGCCCCGCTGCATTGTATTTTTTAAAAGGGTATAACGTCATTCAAAAACAATCTTTTGCAGAGTTGTAAGAACGATTCAAGTCGTATGGCCGTATACAAAATACACTGCAGGTTTCATCAAGCCAGTATGACGGCTCCTGATCAGAAAGTAACGAGGAGAATTTCGGGCGATCACGAGTTCTCCACCTTTCAATAAGACCAGCTTCTTTCTGGCATAACATAGAGCGGAGCTCTACATGGCAGTGGAAACTGGAAGTTTTCTGTTTTGAATGAGCTTAACTGCTTTGCTATAGCTCAAGGACAACGAAAATTCGCCCGTCGCGGAAAATCACAAAAATTACGCGGAGAATTTTTCGCAATTGCAAGTTTTCTACATTTCGAAGGCTACAACCTATCGAAGACATAACGCTCCACAGAGTTTCCATGGCAGTGATAAGCAGAAAGCTTCTTCTTTCTAATGAGCACAACATTTTTGCTGTACCTCAATTATAGCAAAAAATTGCCGTCGCGGATTTCCATTTGAAAGTCAGCCTCAGCTGGTGTATGAGGATCCCCTTGCAAAGCCCATAAATCCATGTAGGAAGGCTTCCCGTAGAGCTTCTCATGATACGAATAGGAATTGATGCATGAAGGCGCTGGTAAACTTCTCCACGGAACACGTCATGTACCCGACTTCTTTCCCAAATGCACCACGTACTACCTATCTTGCAGGCTAGAACACTGCTGTGTTCAGTACTGATCTCTGATTACTACCTCCACCCTTTCTGAGGGGAGACGAATACGACTCCTTCGTCACGGACGGCGACGTATGCTTAACTCTGGTGCCACTTCGCCACCCCTGTAAGGGGTGTCTGATCAAGGAAGGGGTGCAAACACCCCCTCCTCCTCAATGGCTTTCCTAGAAGAGAACCCATAGCAGACTTGCGCTGAAACCATATTAGCCTGAACAAAAGAGCATAGAAAGGAAGAAACAAAAAGGGCAGGCGATCCAATGACTCAAGGAATAAAGCTTGCGTGGGGGCTTCAGAGCACAACTAATGCGGAAAATTTTTGCCAAACACGAGTTTTCTTGCTTTCCAGTGGAACATTGTTGGATTTGTTTCGGCATAGCGTAGAGCGGAAACCTACACGGTTTGGAAGCTAGAAAGTTCCCTTTCTATTGAGCGCAAGTCGGGATTGTGCTTCAAAAGTCAGATTTAGCTCAATAAGAGGAGACTGAAGCTGGGAATTAGTCTTCTCCCCTTCTCTCCCCATTGACACAAATACATGCTTATCGACTTGAGGCGAAAGGCGCTCAACTATTGCAGGCATGACGTGTGCCCGAAATACTTCCAATGGATTATGGCATCTTAATTTGCTTTTTGTGGACCTTAAGTATACTTTTAGGTAGAGAACTTCAACATATATTTTCAGGAGTGACTTAGAAGAGTACAAGAATTTCGAGAAACGAGTGAAAATAAGAGCTGAGGAGAAGTATGACTACTCACGGATCACCGGCAAAGAATACGAGGTTTTTGAATAGTTTACTTGGACAATTATAATGGTACGGTTCCTCATTGGCGCGAAATTTGTCACGTTATTGCTTCTCATTAGACAATGTGGGTATGCCCGTAGTGATTGAAGAAGGACTTCAATATCTGCGCAACCTGCTGAATGTTTGCCACGCTGAGGTAGTAATAATCTTCGTGGGATATTCTATTCCATCCCTGGAACCCCAAACGCTATCCAGGCTTCACATTGATAGTCTGACTGTTATTCCTTGTGTATGGTAGTGAGAGGTTCTTCTTTTCTCCCACAATTTATTGACTACATTTCGGGCCTAAGCCCTTCTTCAGGTCACTGAATTACAAAAACAAGTAAGAGCTTGCACCCCACAATAATACGGCAGCAGCAGTCATCATAGAAGCAGCAGCAAACTACAGTGAGTGTCCGGGAGGGGAGGTAGGGGTTGCCTAGCCTTCTTATGCGGACATAGGAAAAAATTGGAAAGTGGTAGGGTTCTGGGTATACATACAGATGTAGGACGAATGGTGATCTAGGAAAGGTCACATTTGCCCTCCTAGTGCACATCCTACACTGATATCAGACTCATTGCCACTCTTATGTCTTCCTTGTTGTTGATCGGTGGGTTTTGCTGTTTAATTTCTAACGTTTCTCTTATTCTTCTTTCAGTGGGATCAACCACATTCCTGTGCAGAATGGGGACTCGAATTTCGGGTGGTCTTTCTGAGCATTCCGTAGTGTACGGTGTCTCGAGAATGGATTATCAGCGTAGTTCTGTGGACTACGTAGAGATCTTATGTGTTTCTCCATTCTCTTGTGTAGTGGAATTGATGTTCCTCCTATGTAAAATTTATGACACGAAAGGCACACCACCTTGTACACTACATGTTTTCCGTGACACACCTTGTGCTCTTCCCAGGTCTATGTAACCAGAACCCTTCCACTTTCCACTTTTTGCCTATATCCGCATAAGAAGCCTAGGCAACTCCTACCTCCCCTTCCCGAACAACTCATTGTAGGTTGCTGCTGCTTCTATGATGACTGCTGCTGCCGTATTATTGTGGGGTGCAAGCTCTTACTTGTTTTTGTAATTCAGTGACCTGAAGAAGGGCTCAGGCTCGAAACGTAGTCCATAAATTCTGGAAGCAAAGAAGAGCTTCTCACTCCCATACAGCAGAACAAGTCTCAATACAATGAAGCAGAGGGAACCATCTATATTATCTGGTCTCAAGCGCCTACAAGTTTATTTCCCTCTAACTAGGGAAGGTCGTGAGGTCGAAGTGGCCATTTGCAATGAGATGTAGCTCACTAGACGTGGTTTTGGACGCTGATCTCGAATCTGCCTTTGAAATTTGCAGAACGATTCTCTGAACGGAGCTATGGAGCTTTTACCACGCAACAGGTCGTGGGATCGGTCCCTGCTGAGCTTAACTTTTTTGCTTCTTGTGCAAACGTGGCAAAAAGTGGTTGTAGCGTCACTACTACATTAGCACTCTCCTAGACTTGCCTGAAAAACAGTCGCTTACTGGTGCGCTTAGTGCCTTATGATCTAGGAAATGTAAACGGTGCCCTTGGCGCAGAGTGCAGGCGTTTCCGCACTGAGCGAGTGCCATGTTCGAGTTTATCGGGGCGAACTCCGCCTAGGTAGAGTTTTCTAGCCAAATCTGGCTATTTTGACCCGAATTCGGAAAGTGAAGCATCCATGGGTTAGTTCAGTTGATGTTAACACCTATTCTAGCTGCAGATATTAGGTTGGTCGTAGAAAGTTTTAGTCTATATTTTTTTGGAACCTAGTATTTGCCTATTACGTGAAGAGGGTTATCCGGTAATAAGAGCAGTTAAAATCAAGGATTGGTCGTTCTGTTGGTATCACTGGCTCAACTCTTGCTTATCCTTAATCTGCTATATGGATAAGAATGTTATCCGCTACCTTCGGTACAACCCCTTCAAGCGCCTCCTTCAACTCTTTCTTCTACCACCCTGGCGCCAGCATGACAGCTGTCGACGCCGAAATAATGGAGCTGCATAAGGACAACGTCTCAATTTATCAGACGATCTTCCACGGCGGTAGCGCTCCAGAGCGGGAGCCTACTGTTTGAATGACGAAGTGAGGTTTGGAAGTACCTGTGATCTCAGCTTGAGATAGCTGTGTGCCGGGAAACTACTGGATGAAGAAGCTGCCCCCTCGCTTGATGCGTACGCAAAGCAGCTACGAGATCTGAAGCGAACCGTCAAGGAGAGGGAAAAAATTCGCCGGCACAGTCCGTCTTCAACGTGCTGGTGTGGCCTCTACCCTTGCATCGGTGTAGTTCAGACATTGCTCTTTCTGACTGCTAGTCGCCTCCATTTAACCGTTATACGGCCGAGAAAACCTCCACGACTTGAGCCCAAGTCAAGAGATGATGTTCGAAAACTGGCAAGGATCTCGCAATAACATTGCTGTATAATTTTGATCTTGAACGCCTCTCTGTAAAAAGAAAGTGTAATTTGAAAAAAATGTGACAGAACTTTCCCGCTAACCTAACACATTCTGCACAAAGCCTCGTCTCCTCTCTTCTTACGCATTCATTTTATTACTGCTCCAGTTTTCCTGGTATCTAAAAGGAAATTCTGTCCAAAGACAAGCAATCGACAAGAGACTGGCCCTGGAATTATTGGTGGCCATCATTCGATCAACTGCTACCGCATTTTCAAAGTTAGGTCAAAACCTCACATCTGGCTAGCGTGTCCTCAAGGGTACTTTTCCTCCCTGAACACGAATATGGCACTCATTTGGCGTTTGGGTGTTTCCTAGACTGAAAAGAGACATTCACCACAAAATGCAAAAACGAGTTCCCTTCCAGAAACCTGAACCCTACATAGCATGCCCGCGAAGCAAGACCATTACTACTACACCATGCCGCCGTTAATCGTAATGGTGCTTCCCGGCTATTCATGCGAACTGGCAGGCCCATGCGGTGAAAGTTCCAACGCTGTCTCTTAGACGCCGTTATAGCTTAGCAACGTCGACCAAGAAACAACTGCTTTCGGAATGTCGTCCTTCTGAAAACGATGCTCAGACAATGAGTGAACACGTGGTGTTGGCTACGATTACGGGGCTATAACAGATCAGCTTGCGAACGACTTAGGCAATCAATCCGGCAGAGACTAGGACAAAAGTAAAAACGCTTGACACTCCACCATTCGTGATTTCAGACTCCATTCCACCACGTCGATGCACGATCATCGACTGCGACGTAGATAGCGATGCACAGGGAATGTTCAATCTCTACCTAAACTTTTGTCCGAAACCAAAATTTTCGAAGAAATTGGAAGATGACAAACTTACGGCAGTTCATAATTTCGGTATAGTCAAAGCTGGAAACACAAGATTGGATCCACGGTGCCGACGCCTCAAGAAACTCTCCGGAGAGAAATGCCGTTTCCTCGAAGAAATACCCACATCCCAAAACTGGACCCTGGATTTTACACAAAAGTGACCACGCTGAAACGAGACCTCCTTCGACTGTACTATCAGCACAGAAGCCTGCAAACTCGTGATAACATGACAGAATTGGAGCGAGCAGGTCTCACGAAAGCCATCAACGTAAAGAGGACGCCACGATTTTCTCATGGGAATGAGACATTTCCCTGAGAGAAGATGTTCTATCAGATTCCACCACGAGGTGGTTTCAGTGGAACATTATGAACGTGAATGTCGGAGTCTTGAAGAAGTGATAAGAACCCTTGGTTTGAAGCTTGAAAAGAGCGTAGTGGACCAACTTCTGCCGAAATACGCCAGTATACCAACTTATTACCAATTGCTCAGAAGGTGAACGGTGATTCAGTGGACCACACGTCTATCAAAACCAGACCTACAGTAGTATCCCGTGACGGTCCTACGGACAGGATGAGCTGATTTCACCAGTGTATCCTCTGTCCTTTGCTTTCCTATGTTCCCCCACCACCTCAAAAATTAAAGCAATTTCTAGATCAGTTAGGACAGTGCAACTTTGATGACACACCACGATCCTACTAATATAATCGGCGATGTCCGTGTGTGTGTGTGTGTGTGTGTGTGTGTGTGTGCGTCTGTCTGTCTGTCACGAAATTCATAGCACCTGAAAAAGAGCCTGGCGGGTCGGGTCAGGGTGGGGTTGGATAGTGCATGGGACAAAACCTAAATAGCACCCATGACCATGGTAAGCCCGCCCACAGTGGCGGGGCGTGCGTTCAGAGTTAGCGATGTCACTGAAAAAGGTCATAACTCGATTCCAGAGCAGTCCCGTGATGAGGAAACAGTGCAGTGAAGTTAACAAAGGCCTGACCGACCAAACACAGGAGACACACCCGAAATGGGCGGGGCGTACTTGAGATGGGCGGCGCTTTCCCGTGTCACTTAAAAAAGCTATAACTCGGCTAAAAGGTAACCCGGGAGATGGGAGAAAGTAGAATAAGGCTAGCATTGGTTTGGCGGAGCAAATAAAGGAAACACCCGAAATGGGGGGGCGTGCTTGAGATGGGCGGCGCTTTCCTATAAAGGTAGGTAACTTGGTTCCCGAACATGTTTAGAGGTCGCAGGAAACTCCATGACGAAGATGAACATCTGTCAAGAGTCCACCTATGTTTGCGAAGATACTAAGGCCCGCCACAAGTGGGCGGGGCGTGCATTTGAACCCGAGGACCATTGTAAAAAAACGGTAATTTGTGCTAAAGCACTACAGATGGCGCAAAAAGTGGATTATGGCCCCCATCACATCACATGCAGGAATGTGCGAGGCATCCCGCTGTGGGCGGAGCGTGCCCCAAGGTGGGGACAGCAAGCCTTAAAAAAATTCGCAAAACGCTTCCAGAGAACTCCAGACACCGGGAAAAAGTAGTTTAAGGTCATCGAGGGTCATAAGTTGAGAAGCGCGAGGCATTCGTTGTGGGCGGGGCGTGCCCCAAGGTGGGTGGAGCCAAATTTAAAACATTCGCAAAACGCTTCCAGAGCATTCCAGCCACCGGGAAAAAAGTAGTTTAAGGTCATCGAGGGGTCGT